GGCGTTTTTCCAGATGTCAAGACGAGTCTTCTTGACTTGGTTAAACTCTCACACTTGACCCAGTAATTGTACAGGATCCAAGAGGTTCTCCAAATGACAACTCACGTCATGGTGACGTGGCAAAACTCCGACAAGTCGCTGAAGATCTGACACTTAACCCAGTAATTCTACTGGATGCAAGAGGTTCTCCACATGACAACGCACGTCATGGTGACAAAGCAACACTCCATGACGTACTTGAAGGAACATTCGACACACACTGAGATATCAAACGCCCTCCAAACAACTGAACACGTGACCCTTGACTCGTTGCGTCTACAGAGACCAGACCCATATGACCAGCCACATCTTGGTGACGTCGGGAGACTCGATGCACTGAAGGGGGCACCTTCCGGCAACAATGGCACGTAAACGTTCAACGTCTTATAAACTGTTACTTCTTCACTGTATAAATGCATATAAGAAAATGTCAGTAGGCGTCTGCTCACAACCCAGTCGGGTGACAATGGTAAATCCAGCATACTACCCCTTGACTTTCTGTGGTGACGTGCTGTATGACTGTACCAATGCTGTGCTTGGGTTATCCGTTTATGCGGAAATGTTCCCCGATCATCAATCACGTACTTTATTTCTAGATATTGTCCAACCAAAATACCCGCTACGTTTTTGTCTCAATCATGGAGGCGTAAACTAATATGTTCTGCTTTTAATGGTGACATCCCCATCCTCCTTCCCTACTAGGTGCTGTCAAACGTCGATTTACCACAGATGAGTGGGAAACATATGATCCCATATTAAACAGTTTACATATAAACCTGAAGGCTTCTTCTCACTGTAAATTAGACATGGCTTCTTTTCCCGGAATTACCGCATTTGAGGTTTTTGTTTGCTCCCAGGTTTCACTTTTCGTAATTAAGATCTATTTCCCTGATTTACCTTTTGTAAGTAAGACCTCTTCCCAGGTTTTCCTCTTTCCTAACTCTATATTAACATCAACATTCAAATTCAGATGATATGTTAGTGTTTGAAATCAATTGAAAAATATCATCAAAGATCAACTTAAATGTGCAAATGTTTTCCCTAGAACCGTAATTTTCAGATTCATAAGCGGAAGCTCTACCTCACAGCCAAACAGCGAGGGTTGAATTATGTATTTATAGTTAGGCCTACTGTCATTCAATTGATTTTTCTAGCGTTTCAGTTACTGTTATGTAGCTTCATTACATGATCATCTAATTACCCATCATTGACGGTTTATATGTATAATAAAGCACTCCTCCTCGGTTATGGTTGGGAAAGTAAGAACTCGACCATCGGGTGGAGAGAAGTAAGACTTAATTCTCCCCACCCTCCGGTCTCGGGTCTTACTTTCCCAACCATAACAAACCGAAACATGAGTCTCATAAACCTATTCAGACAATGACCTACTTTTCAGCTGATCCGAATTTTCACAAACAACTATGGTTACACTGAATTCCAATTTCTTTTTCCATAAGATAATGGCATGTACAAATGAGTTTTAATTTCAAACTGTAATAACATCGTATTTCTATATTTTATGGCGAGGTGTAGGCAGCATGACCTTAATTAAGACGCCACAGACTGCCCGTGTTGCATGAGGTCGTAAACTGATTCACAATGCATCTGGCTCCCTGGTTACACCTGTTATGTGGTTCGTGCGCTTAGTCAGTGAAGTTCTGTAACACACAATGTGATTGATATAATACAATTATCGTACCAGTCCGCCAAACTTTTCTAGCGACAGAGCATTGTTTTGAGATGTCCACGATTTCCAGATTTGAGTTTGTCAGAGCTCGCTGTACGACAGAGCACGCTGCACGACGTGTTTGCAAGGATTAGAAGGAGCGTAGTGTTGCAATATATTAGTGCTTCGATGTATCAAATAATACTGATTAATAATTAGGTATCAAGTTAAATGAACTGATCTCCAAATTCTCGACTGGTTATTGTACTTAGTTGCGCAATAGGACGGGGCCCAGTCAACAGGAAACGAGACTGTTGTGTGATCAATGTTTTGACTTCGTGCTTTATCCTACACATAACAGCCTTGTCGCCTTTGCAAAATATTTCCTCAACAGAGGAACTTAGAAACTAAAAACGAAACGCGAAACTGGTTGTGTATCACTGGAGTTAAGATGACAGTTATGACCAGTGAATATACCAGTCGACTGTACAGCGCGTTCGCCATCCAGTGTGCAGCAGCCACCTTGGATACAATTGTAAGCGATACCAATATAAAGATGCAGACACGAAAAAGACGTGTATGCGTGACTGTACTTCTTTGGCTGTTGACAATCAAGGTAGGTTCATCTCCCAAAATGATACATCTCCCAAAATGGCCCAATTACCAGTTAACTCCATTGACTAGTCAGGTGCCCGTAGTCAGATATGAATTTCTATCCTGCTGTGAATATATTCTTCTTGTGAAACATTTACTGATATGCTAAGCCTTTATGATAATCTGTTCAGGTGTACTTTTTGCTCGTGCCATACTTTCAAGTTCTTTCTTTAACTGAGTTAATACTTCAACAATACACCAATTTGTGCCAGTTTCTTTTGACATAAATGAAGTTTATACAATATTCATACGTGGAACTTCTTTCATTACACTTCTTCAAATATACCCAAGTAAGTTTATCATATCAGCATAAGACAGTTATGTTCCAAAGCTTGGCGTGAACTGATAATCACATTGGTATTAACCCATGAAGATGCGAGTTAGAATTGATCTTCAGTAACCCATGCTTGTCGCGACTAACTTGGTTGACACCTGTCATCGATTCCCAATTGCGTAGATCAGTGCTCATGATGTTGATCACTGGATTGTGTGGTCCAGACTCGTATGTTTACAGACCGCTGCCATGTAGCTGTAATATTGCCGATTGCGGTGTTAAACAATCAATAACATTGGTATAACCATATTGCATAAGTGCCAGTTTCAGTGTTAGTCAATGATGACTCAAAGTGTCACCATATAGTGTCATAGAACACGTCTAGATACACATGGTCGAAAGCATGAATAGTCAATATTGTTCTCCTTGGATATATCACCATCTCCGTTGGCAACATGTGAGAGAATATTGTTAGATTCAATCCCGCTTTGAGTATTCTTTTATAACATTAGTTATCAGCTTAATGTGTAAGGCGACAGAAAGCTTTCCACTTCCGTAAGGAATGTCTGATACAAGCAGAGTCGATTATCATGAGTATGTGTCTGTTTGACGCCACATTCAGCAGCGTTACACCAGTACGACCTGGTTTGTCAACAGTCGAGTCTGGACCAGACAATCGAGTGATAGACACTATGAGAAATGATGACTGACAGGCGCGTAGGAAGCCATTTTTTTCGTATAAGCCAAATAGGTTGCAAAGCTTCATAATTTGTATTGAGTGCTTGCCCGGGCTTTTTTTCATAATGATAGCTACGCCCCTGACTGAGCATGTGTTTATTAATCAAATAGTTATGATATCAGGTGTTTGCGAGGAATGCCTGAAGTGATGCAGATCAGTTATCTTATCTTTAACTGTCTATACACGACGATCACGGGTTTCAACAAGGTTACCGAATACACCTTCCACAAATATATTAACAGCCGAATTGAAATTGTACTGGCCCGAGACCACTATATTGCGCCAGGGACAAGTAGTGAATATAGTCCTCAATGGCCGGTAAATCTTTAGGACTAAAAATGTGACACGGTGTTTGCCATCAACCGGAAAATGATAAATGAAAGGAAATGAAAGGAAACCTGAAAAGCTCCATGTAATGTTATGCGACACCATCATTATGAAGTGAGAATCTCTATGAAGGTCATTTGCTTCTCACATCCGACAGCGTATCTTTGTACAAAAAGCATCCAGTGTATTTCCGGCTGTCCACCCATGCCCCACACGATTACAGCTTTATGTAAATAACAGTGAAATAAAGTTTCTCCTAATCCTTTGAACTAGTCGTGAAGAAACTGAAATTCTGATGCCACTGAATAATGGGCACTAGGTGATTAAGCGATGGTAAACGTGAATATTAGTGTGTGATCACATCTGTCATGTTTATCGCTCGTGTCTATCACTGGTATCTGTGGTCCAGACTCAATTATTCACAGGTTATTGCGATAAAGCCGGACCATTGGTGAGTGTAGCGAGAAACGGCTCTCAATTACTGTTTGTTCACATCTATCTTCATGTTTACAGCATGTGAAGACTGACGGTAAACTGGACATTCGATTCATCAGTTACTGGTCGGATGGCAGGGTATTCAGTGGGCACCTTTGTGACAGATATCCTCTATTTTATTCCGTTGATAAGTGCAATCCAATGTTTACCCCGTGCATTGATGGATAGGTACAATTAAAACGTTTATTGTTCAGTTCCTGACAGTTTTGTATTTGTAGGCTGGTATTTCGGTAAAATAAATGATTTGGGCCCCTGCTGCTTGTAATATATAGAGGTAAATTTAATGTTGTTCTCTTCATCCTTATGTGAAAGTATGTGTGTATCTCCATTACGTTTTGGAGTGTACCCCGTATTAGTAATATAAGTATGCCAACGTTGTTAATGACTTTTACAATCGCCTTCATTGTGTTTGTCACGTATTGCTTTCTTCGCGACCTTTAGTGTGCCATTTGGTGTAGATATTTGAAGCTATTTATCACAATAATTAATTGTACCTTCAATACATCATTGGTTGTAAGTCATTCTGGCTACATATGCAGGGATAAAAATTGTGTGTTTTCAATGTAGCGCTTTGTTACCTATAGATTTGATGGTGTAATACAATTTGCTCATATTATTCCAGCCCTGAAGGAAGACAGCCGTGCTCTGTTTACAAGAGGACTACAAACTACATAAACAACCAAAACATAATTCAGTTTGGAAGCAGCATTCAAGGAACTGCAAATCCTTTCATCATACCAGTGGACAATGCATTACCGGTAGGACTGTTATCTAAATCTATATTTCACACTGATTGGAACATGTCATAAGTAACCAAAACCACTGACATGAAACCTGAACCGTCCCGTTAGTGTTGATCATGAAACCAGCCAACACAGTTCTCGTCAAATCATTCCACTCAGCTAAGGTTCGCCATGACAACAGGTCATTGCATCCTGATGGCGACTCTGGGCATGAACTTCTGGTTTGTCTAGTCCAGCCTCGATTATTTACAAGTAATAATTTCGATGTTTGATAACAGACAAGTAGAAAGTAAATCGATAGGTGTGTCTTTTTATTGATTCAGCTATACCTTACTAACTTAAACTAAACAGATGGTATACATTGTCTTTTATTCAGTCCTCGATAAAAATAACCGTGGAGGTGTATAACAAAGATCACACTTCCAGTGATGACCACATGGACACCCTGTCCAAGCTGATCAACATCCGAGCCGCTGTTACAGAACAGACAGCTATGTACAACTCATACACATTGTCGAGGAGGACGACGTGAGTCAGATTAAAACATATCTGTGATGATTCCAGAGAGTTAGGTTTGAGGGCTAGAACAAAACAAGATGGGATATTCTTTTATGTTCTTTGTTCATAAATACTTCAAAATAATGAGTTTACGTCAAAACATTATGTTGTGAATGATCAACGGTCTCGCACCAACATAATGCCAATGTAAGCTTTTGACTAGCATTCAATGTTTAGATGTAATAATTGCTTGATCAAGGTGCTCAAGGCACTCAAAGTGAAAACTGTTTTTGTTTTGTTAGTTTGTCGTTTAACGCCGCACTCAGCAATATTCCAGCTATGTGGCGGTGGTCTGTAAATAATCGAGTCTAGAGTCTCTCCACCCGGTCCCGTTAGTCGCCTCTTAAGTGAAAAATGTAGAGTGAATTATTTTCAAGGTTAAGGATTGACTGTCATTGTGTTTGTTTGCTTGTCTTTTAACGATGCACTCAGCTATATTCCAGCTATGTGGCGGTAGTCTGTAAAGCATCAAGACAATCCACTGAATGAGTGATCAACAGCATGGGGATCGATCTGAGCAAATGGGATACGGTGACATGTGTCAAGCAAGCAGGACAGCCTAACCATCTGATCATATATTTCTCCTCAAAAGTGAAAATGCAGAGTGAATTATTTTCCAGGTTAAAGATTGCTGTCCGTGCATACTGCGACCCCGACTGGTACGGGTCTGCGTGTGAGAAATATTGCAAGGCAACAACTGACCACAGTCACTACACCTGCCACCCACACACAGGAGCTAAAATGTGCTTTGAAGGTATGCTCGGAAAGCTGGTGTGAGCGTTGTTGTGAACTATATTTTTAGACCTTAACAAGCTTGAGAAAGACCAATTGACACGTTACTTTTAATTGAACAAAGTTTGTGTTATTAGAAATGGTTGCTCGAATCACTGGTGATCCATTTACATGTAGACGTTCATCTGACAGTGATCATCCAGCGGGATATCGGAACTGACGGTGTGGATTAATAGGATTTCACTGTTTCACTCTTTCTGAAACATTCTGCTATTTACTGCATAATTTCAAGTAATTTCAAATATAAAATTGCAGGTTGGAAGGGAGACAGCTGCAACAAGGACATCGATGAATGCACAGAAACTGACCAAATGTGTCAACACGGAGGCACTTGTACAAATACAAACAGACGTTTCGAGTGCGCTTGTGCGGAGGGGATCAAAGGTAAGTAGACTGTATCAGTCCTCGTGGATCAGTCCTCGTGGAATATAGTTTGCACTATTATGGCTACCATACAATAATTCGATCCCAAACAAAATGTTACGAAAAGTACAATATTAATTGACTCATAAGAACAGACTGTGTTCCGCCTCATTATTTTCATGTATTTTCAGTTGTTTTAAGAGCGCCACTATTTCGTAATGTATATGTACCTACATGTTTACACTCAAATGCACGTATATGCACCCATAAAAGCGCGCATGCTCCCACAGCACCCCCACCCTCACCCCCAAATCATATATGACTATGTGAGGTCAGTCGAAGATATTTAGCACCGCAAACCCGCAATTACATTTTGTACCTTCTTGAAAAATTGTTGTAACTCCACCTTGATAGTGGAGGTAAAAGGTCAAAAGGGTTAAATCCAACTGTACCCGATGGCAAGAGATCTGTAACTTGCTTACAAGTCGTGTCAAAATATCTGTTCATTGATGGCTTTTTTTTTGCTTCTTAATTTCTAAAATTTGTTTAGGAAAACAATGTGAAAACATCATCAGCCAATGTGCACTGGAACCTTGTCTGAACGGAGGGACGTGTGACGGAAACGAATCAGACTTTAAGTGCGCATGTCCAGTTGGTTGGACTGGAGACACATGCGCAGATAAAATTAACTTCTGTGACAGTTCCCCTTGTAACATGGGCCAATGTACACCGGATCTCTTGACCGCAACTCGGTTCAAGTGTGACTGTGATTTTGCGTGGGTAGGAGAAAGATGCAGCCAAAGTGTTGGTGAGTGAAATAGTGTCTTATATACACTCAGCTTAAATTCATGTATGTTTTATGTATCATCGTGTATCAAAGTGTCTTAACCTTAATACATGTAAGTATGTATAGTACTAAATTGTGAAATCAGTAAGTAACGACAGAAGATAATTGAACAGTAAACAAATTATACTGAACGACATACGATGGAGTTTACGTCAATACAATACAACAAAAGTGGTGAAAAACACCTGGCTGCATCAAATAAGAATGTATGAGGCCAGCAATCACGAATGTTCAGTATTGTTCAAACTTGAACGTCTTGAGTGAGGGGATCTACATGTTCCTTAGAGAGGGGATCACCACACAGGTACGTCAACATAGACGTCAGCCGCTGGGATGGTGTTTCATCACAAACATCCAAGGGAGGCTACTTTATGTCGATATCACGAGCAAACCCGATATTATACGGAAGCCTCTATCACTTTGACACTTAACGTCACCAGAATTTAGGTGAGAATATGCAATAAATGAAAACAAACTGCTCCTATTCCTTAAGACAACACAAAGTTGACGTGTGTTTGTTTTTCTTTCTGGATATGCAGATGGGTTGTGGTATCCTGCCAGGGTAAGGAGTCTGATGTATGCAGTGTGCTTTTTGATTGGCTTAAAAGATGTTGATCAATCATTTGAACGCATTTCATTTGACAAATTGACTAGTAAATACATTGTCAAATTTCATCCGTACCTGTAGTTGTCAATTTATGATTTATTATAAATGTATTCTAAGAAATCCTCATGTTCTTTGTATTCAGACACATTCAACATCACTCTCCTGGGTGAGATTGATCATACAAATAGAGGTGACCTGGCTGTTGGCTTGAACAGACTCATCACCGAACTCGGGGGAATTCCAGGAAAGGTGGATGTCAAGTTTAAAAACAAGACACAGAAAGAAAGCAAGTAAGTGACAAGCAGAATGATGTTGACCAGTACAAGGAAATAGAGCTTTACAATGACTTAAATATTTAAATGTCCCGTCCTGCAGTTGAGGTCAAAATAATTACCAAGTTTGTGTGTTATGTACCTTTCAGTTATACTACAACGCACGAACAACTCTACTCTGCTGTGGAAAACGGATCCTTTCTGGAGAGTTCTTCATTAGTTATGATCTTCGAATCTAACCCTGAAGAGATCATCAATGAATATCTGCTTCTTCCGTTGTACCCTTCCCGAGAAAAAGAGGAGGTGATCGCGAAGTGTTGCAATGTTGTATTACTGTTTATGTTACAACGTATGCCATTATTGGCTTTTGTACCTGATGTAAAAAACATTTACTAGAGATGTTTGTAACATATTTATCATCCAGTGATTTTAGTAAAGGTTCCATGGAACTATTTCCTTACCGGAATCTTAGTATAACTTCTGATACAGCTTAAGGTATCATTTGACAAGATGAATTCACATCACTGCAGGTCAATATGTTTCAGGGTCCACATGGCAGCTGGGACACAAACCAATATGTGTCGATCATTCTACCTCCTGTAATACTTGTCCTGATGCCTGTTCTCCTTCTGCTGGCTTTCTGCACCTGGAGAAGAAGATCGTAAGTGGTACATGGCATACTCATTGATTAAAACACTACCTTGTATTGGGAATCAAGGACGACAGCCACTCTGCCAACGTACATGTATTGTGGCACTCGGACTAAATACTTTTTCTCAAGGCATATATCATGGCCCGACTACATTAACTGAAATTGTTTTTAAAAAGTTCCACTGTTCGAGGTGAGGTGAGGTGAGGTGAAATTGGGTTTAACGTCGTGCTTGAGAATATTTCGCTCATATGACGACGTGCATGCGGGTGTATGTGTATGTGTGGCTGCTTGTACTAGTCCAGTCTGAAGCTGGTTTTATAGTGCTAGCCCACTGAGACACCATGCCACAGTGAAACATGAATACCCAACGCAGACACATTATACTGACTCCGAGCCGACCAGCCCTTGTTGTAACCAGTAATGTCGAGCGCCAGGCAGGGACCAACAAGTACCATATTTTAACGTGTTTTTGTATGACGCGGTCGGGGATCGAGCCCGCGACCTTCCGCTCTCCGGGCGGACGCTCTAACCACTACACCACGGAAGCGGTCCCACTGTTCGAGGAATAATTACAAAAATATAATTTAACATCATGTTTTTTGCATCCATTTCTGTAGATGCTGTATTTTCTGAATACACTTGTACATTGCTCAGTTTCTTTTAGAGAAACAGCGGTAATGTTTCAAAGCATCGAATAAAACAAACATGGCAAATCGAACTTAAGATATCTAAGTGATCAGTTACAATATATTAGGAGTTTGTTGGGATATTTAGCATTTACGTCACCAATCATTATAGTTCTTATTTCCAGGAACAAGACGGTAACAATGTAGAGAGCTCAGCTCATTTGTGATGGGCGTGGCATACAATAGAAACGCCCAACCAACAGGTGCAATGACAGGAAATCTCCAGGAGGCAAGCGTATCTCTAGACGGTTACACAAGTCTTCGCTTCCTCGAAGTAGATGAAGGATCACACTACACAAGCTTTGATGACACATTGAACATCAACCCAGCAACTAAAGATATGACCCTTGACCCCGGGAGTCTGCAGGGTTTCAGCGGTTATTAAGAAAAGAACGGACGTCTTGGTGACGTAGCAGCATTTGACACACACTGTGATGACATTTCAATCATTCACCGTGCAACTGAAGATATGACCCTTGATGAAGTGATTGCACATTGTTTCGGCGTTTCTGCAGATGTCAAGACAAGTCTTCTAGACGTGGCAAAACTCCAAATAGTAACTGAAGTTCTGACCCTTGACTCGGTAATGCTACAACATCCAACAGATTCTCCGAATGCCAATGCATTCCAACAGGTCACTGAAGATCTGACTCTTGACCCAGTAAGTGTACAGGATGAAAGAGGTTCTCCACATGGCAATGAACGTCATTGTGAGGAAGCAACACTCCATGGCGTTCATGTGAGAACACTCGACGCACTCTGTGATGAAACATCAAACGCCCTCCCAACAACTGAAGATGGGACCCTTGACTCAGTGCATCTACAGAAACCAATCGGATATCCAGATGACCAAACATGTCTTGGTGACGTCGGCACACTCGCTCCTTGCCGTCATGTTACGTCATACCCAGTCCCTGGAGATATGACCCTTGACCCGGTGAGTCTAGAGGAAAAGGAAAAGGATGCAGAGTACACTGTCATCGATGACAATGATGTGGAGGACCTCTTAAAAGGCGACCCTTCTGAAACGATAGAGTCTGTCGATGACAATGATTATGAGAACAGCTCACAGGAAGACCCTTATGAATAGATACATTTGTAGTTGCCTTTGACGAGATATTAGCCAACCAATAAGTATAATGAAAGGAAAATGTCATAATTATACTAGCCACATAAAGAAACTGTGCATTGTCAAAATATTATCCCAGTTGATAAGTACGATAACAATGTCAAAGGTACATATAAACTTTAATGGAGGGATCATGAGACCATAACAAGTCGGGAGAATTTCAAGTGAAAAGTCAATCACAATGACGTCACGAGTCCACAAGCGGGACAGGGGTCAAACGACCATGTCACAAGCTCAATAACGGGTATTTCCACCATCGGCATTGAGAACAGCAGTGCATCGACGACGCATAGAGCCTATCAAACGTGCGAGGAAAGCTTGTGGGATGTCACGCCAGATTCTCTCAAGTTCTGTTGCAAGGTCAAGGACCTTATCTGGCGGATGAGGAAGACGGCGTAGACGTCGATCCATCTCGTCCCAAACATGCTCTATCGGGGAGAGATCCGGTGAATTCGCAGGCCAAGGCAGTAAGTCAACGTTGTGGTGTTGCAAGAAATCCATAGCAACCCTTGCCGTATGAGGGCGGGCATTGTCCTGTTGGAATGTTAACCCATGGCCATGACGTTGCAGAGAAGGAATTGCCACAGGTCGAAAAAGCTGATCCCTGAAGTTGCCCTGAACAATCACCAAAGGAGTTCTTTGGCGTGCTGTTATTCCACCCCAATTCATTACGGAACCACCACCAAAGCGATTCCACTCCAAGACACAGGCCTGTGCTTAACGTTCTCCCACGCGTCTACAGGCACGTTGACGTCCATCACTATGGGAAATGTTAAACCTGGACTCATCTGTAAAAACAACATTTCTCCACAAAAACAAGGGTCTGTGGACATGATTTCGGCACCACATTCGGCGAGCTTGTCGATGACGTTGTGTCAGGATAGGCCGTATGGCGGGACGTCGTGGTCTGATCCCGTGATGACGTAAAAGTTGTCGAACTGTGTTGGGGTGGATACGGCGAAGTCCTGGGATGGTTCGGGCAGTCATCACTGCAGTCTGAAACCTGTGGCGAAGATGGGTCACCCTTATTCATATGTCCTGTCTTGGCGTTGTTACACGTGGACGTCCAGAACGTGGCCGATCGATGACGTCATTTGTGTTCTGGTAGCGTCTCACCAGTGCAGAAATGGTGTTCCGGG